CCAAATTCTTCGAAAAGGCATGTCGAATGAAAAAATCCCTGTACGGGTTTGGAGTTGTTACATCGCATTCAAGACCGCACGACATGCTCTCGAAAGGCTCTGCGGTTCAAGCACTCGTGTTCGATGACGAACCGCAAATTGTACCTACACCTGCGGAAGATGAAAGAATTGCTTACATTGATGAGCTGCACGTAGCTTACTTTGCAATCGAAACATTTATGAAAATGCAGGATGCATATCAAGAGACACCTTTCGCTGTTGTCAAGAAATGCCAGTTCACTTCCGGATTTATTTATGTTGACGTCCACAAGCCATTTCAATTCTTGAAGCTCACGGACTCTGTCAGAAGAGTTGGACTATTTCACGCCTGTCACAGTGACCGTACCACACAATGTCTTAAACCCGAAGAGAATAATTTGAGTTGCACTGCCTCGATCATGGAGGGGAATATTTTCTACTGCTTATCCAGGCACGACGGTTACCCTCCTCGAATGGCTTAGTTCTCCGCATTTGTTCCCTGACTTATCGCTGCGTTGAAAATCGGAGCGGCCGTAGTTCCGGATGAGCAAGGAGTCGCCAGTGATGACCATCGCGAGATTGCAAAGCGACTAGTCGAAGCGCAGGCGCTTGAGAGACTGGAGAGCGTTATCCAAGAGGAAGAAGCAGAACCGGCGGACAACGCTAATCCCCAATTACCCAAAGGCAATGAAGTCGCCCGGAGATTGGGGGGTGGAACAGAATCAAAAGCTGCTCGAAACAGAAGAAAAAAAGCGGAGAAGGAAGCTGAGTCGCAGCGCCGTGTTGAGGCGGAGCAGGCCAGCATCGCTACATGCGCACCGAAGATGCATACAACGCACACACCAGTAATTTGCACAACCACGCTTGCACGCGGCAGCCCGACTTCCTTAACACCGAGCTCGGTGTAGCTCTTCAGCGCGACGAGCCGCAAGCAATAGGGAGTTTTCCAAGGAGCCACTTGTGATCATTCGCGCGCCGCACGGCCCGTGCGACGTGCGGCACGGGCAGACGACGAGGGCCCAATTAAAAATAGATGAATGAAGTCATTGTAGAGACAGCCAATTAAAACACGTAGCACACATAAGTTCCACTCTCCGATGTCGTTCGACATTTCCGATCTCCCGACACAATATCGCACTACCGCTCGTAACCTGCACCCAGCTGCAACATTATCTGGCCTCCATGACTCCCACTCACCGCGCCTCCCACGGCTGAATTCTACATCTGAGCGGGAGAGGAAATCCTCTCGATCGTTTCATGCAGGATGGCGACCAACAAACCCCACACAGGCTCGCTCACGGCTCGGAGCTTGGCAGCAATTACTCACCATGTATCGAATGTGTTTTCTTCTTCTCGGTTTCTTCACGCTATACTACTTCATATTTGCCAAACATCACTACCACGACAGCGAGATGCGTGCTATTCACGCCGATGTCGAAAAGCGGCTCCGTGAAACCATCAATTCCATCCTCAGTGATAACCTCGTAGAAGCGGTACTTCCTGACAGGTTTAACGAGACACTCAATCATAATCTCAGTACGCACAGATTTCAAACGAACACGCTCTTCTTCAGAGTTGTCTTCAGAATCCGTCCCATCGTTTCCAACCTTCATTGATCTGTACACATCCCAGTCCGCATCCTCCACCCCAAACGTGTCCTCCTCCACATTTTTCTTCCCACGCCCTCTCCCTCGTCCCCTCCCCTGGCCCCTCCTTCTTCCCTTCCCACTTCCTCTCTCGCGCCCCTTTGAGTTCCCTCGCCCTGGGTCTTCGTCGAAACCTGCATTGCTTCCTGCTTGTTGTGCCAACAACCTCATTCGTTCCTTTGCAGCCTGCCACCGCCGATCCCACCTCGCTTCGCGCGCGGCGTCCTTTCGATTTAAACGCTCAGCTAGCTCATCTCGCTCCGTTTGCAGTTCGGTCAGATACTCTTGTGGCCTCTCCATGCGCATCTTCTCTATATCCTCAGCCTTCCTCTACGCTTCCGCCTTCGCCGCGAGCTTGACCCTTTTCCCCCGTAACCGTGCTTCCGTAGCCCCGCAAAGCGCGCGCTCGTGCCGCTTTTGCTTGAGTTACGGCGCGCTCAGCTCTGACATCGACAGAAGCTCGTCTGCTCGTACGCGCTTCCACCACGCCACCTCCGCTGCCGTTGCCTTTCCCGCGCTCAATTTGGCACGTTCGTCATCCACGAGCAGCTTCCGCTTGTCGATCTCTTGGTTCAGCGCTGTCGACGATTCCCACTGTCCGACGTACATGGAAATGTAGTACTTGTCCTCATCTATATCCCTCATATCTTCAATACACAACCTCCTCCAGTGTATACGATGTATCCACTGGCTCTGCCTCTGTCCCCGACACATCCTTATCCCTTCCGCCGGCTCTTGACATCTTCCACCGTGTCCACTGGCTCTGCCTCTGTCCCCGACACATCCTTATCCCTTCCGCCGGCTCTTGAATTCTTTTTATCCTGCATTAACTTATTCAACCTCCTCCTATTATCAATTCTCGCCTGCTCCTCCGCGCTCGTCGCCGTCTTATCACTCGCCTCCCCAGTTTCCACCTTGACTGTCTTTGACACTTCGTCAAAGTTATCTGGTTCCTCTCTAATTTTCTTCCACTCGGCATCATAGCATGGTGCATGCGGGCGACATACGGTGGGGTTTGTAAGATTGGCATGGAGGAGCCTGAGAAGGCGGCCACAATGTGGACGACCCGAGATCGAAGATGAAGTCTTGCGAGTTGAGATGAGAGGGCGGGGCGCGGGGCGCGGGGCGCGGGGCGCGGGGCGCGGGGCGCGGGGCGCGGGGCGCGGTAGGCAGAGGGGACGGTGAAGGGGGGCGGAGGAGGGTCGATCAGATACACATCAGGGGGTGGGCGGATGACTTCTTTTTGCTCGACCATGGCGGGGGATGTGCGTGGTATTTAGGGTAAGTCGGCAGGGTTGCGCACGACTTCGGAATCTGGTTGCGGAGAGAAAGGACGGGACGAAGCCCCGTTTGTCCTTTGGTGACTTCGGGAAACAAAACTTGGGGGTCTTGCCTGCCACGTGTAAAAAAAGACGAGCGTGCTTTTTCATGACGAATTCATAGTGACAGGAAGCCTTTCCCAAGGCTCAGACTACTGTACTGAAATGCAGTCTCTGGTACCTGGGATACTAATTGAGGTCCTCTGGGACATCGAATTAACCAAAGGGGAAGGACGAAGGCGAGGTGAGAGAACGCTTGCATCCGTCTGGTGGCGGGCAGAGTTAGTAACTAAGGAAGTGGTCGAGGGAAGAGTGAAAGGGAAACTGAAATACGTGGCAAGGGAGGGGTTTGATGAACAACAAGCGATGGTGTGGATTATTCCTGATTATATTCGCTTGGTGGAAGATGACGCCACTCAGTTGCGGTGGCGTTATTATGAGTGCTCAGGACAGGTGAGCTATGAAACAGACGGAGAAATTTTTATTCGCCAGAGCGAAAATGGAGTTGGTGATGGGGAGGCGGTACAAAATTTGCGAATGTATAGCGTGGAGGGGAAAGTGGCTACGCTTTTATCTCGAGTTGAAGAAATCGAGCGCATGGTTGTTGGCCAGTTTCAATTCTTTTCTCGGATCGGGTCTGGATCAACGGCAGAACGGCAATGTGCACGTCTCCTAAATACTTTGAGACAGAAAACATTGGTACTCATCCAGAAGCCGGTACCAAACTTCAAACCGCGACAAGGGGATACGGAGCAGGACACACACTACGAAGAGAGCTCTACCGGAAGCATTCGTTCAGTGGTAGACTGCACCTTGGAAGAGTATGAGAACTTGGCCGGCACTGTTCATTCGTTGTCCGATTCTGCCCAGTTCAAGCCCTCGTTCCAGGAAACCCAGTCTCTCGCAGCGTGCACCGAGCTCGCAGAGATAATTTTCTCATCATGCAAAGATTTGTGCACAGTTATTGGCATAAACTCTGTCGCGGACATGAGAAATATTGTGCGACGGAGGAAAGGAGGAGGAAAAGAAGGAACCGTGCATGAAGCAATTCGCATTATGGGGCTGTATGTCGCAGATGAGACCGATGAGAATTCGGCGGCGGCACTGCTGGTGGGAACATGTATGCCATACGTTCGTCGCAAGGCGACGGTCGATGCCCTTGTCCGAAAGAGCCGAGATTTCGATTTTCGAAGTATGTCGTACACTCACCCTCTCTCACATTCATCACTTCAAGCAGTTGACCTTGTAAGCAAGGTTTTCGCGGCAAGGCTTTCAGCCACACCGAGCGAGGTGTCGGAGGACGAGGCTGTAAAGACTGTTTTCTCGGAGTTGAAAACTTTCTCTTTCCGGTGGCGTCCGATGGTTCCCCCGAACAGTCGATTCTGGAGTACAGCTACATCCGTTTCTGAACACGTTTGCGGGTCTCTCGAAGTTGAGCTCCCCTACTTCATTATTAGAGGCTTTCAGGCCGTGTCCGAAGTCAGCTATTTGGTTACAGATGAGTACTTGACGCACGTATTTTGTACAAAGGGTCAACCACACATGAGCACCTAGTCACGTATGTCGTCGTAGACACATCTATGAATTGTGAAAGTCTCAGAGACTTCAAAAAGTTGTCGAACGTTTCAGTACAAACGCGTTAAATGATTCAGTGCAAGGCCATTTGGTAATTTTTTTTGTGGTTGAGCTCTTACATGTTATGACATGGAGCTCCTCCGACGCTGGGATATCCTGGCGGTTGGACATGATGCGAGCTGGGCTCTTACTGTGAGGCGTGCGGGTGGTACGTCTGATCGTCGAGACGTCTGATCATCGAGACCTGCCTCGGCGACTTTGAGGGCTCCTTCTTTTACCCTTCCCTTCACGCTAACGCCCCGCTTTCGGCCAATGCTACAGAGCGGTATAGAGCTAGCGCGACAAAATTTGGATGTGAGCTACGTCAGTGCTCTTAGTTGGTACCTTCTTAGCATGTTTGCGAATGGTGGTTTGCTCTTGTTAATTTCGAAAGGACACTCTGATGACTTCGTCTTTGTTCCAAGCGTTGCCTCGCAAATTTCACTCAATATGGCACCTGACAAGGTTTTTGCCCAGGAAAGAGAAGCTCTTGGCAAAATCGTCCACAAACACACTATGGGCCAGGAAGAGGACGCACTTCTGATGATTGACCCGGAGTCGTTTGCCGTTCTCTAGACTTTAGTTTGTTATATTTACACGAAGTCCAATCAACCAATGCTTGTTCTCTTCCTCAAATGTACAATACAGCCTTCTACCACCGCAACCTACTTCCAGTGCTAACATGTGCCCAGATTTTCGTTGAAGGTGCGTCCCTTAAAATGGTTAGGGCTGGTCAGTGGCGCGCATTGCGCTACAGCCAGAACGCCGTTGTATTAAATGATATTCAAAAGCTCTGAGCGTTCGTATCGTTCTGGCCCGTATTCGTCGTCGTCTTCCTCGAGCAAGGCACATCGCATGCTTTGATAGAACGGGACAAGACCCTCTTGTGCGTAAATGTAAAGCCTATTATATATTCGCCAGTATACTTCCCGTACTTTCCCGGCAAGATGAAATAGCCCTTGCAGGACGTAGAGGAGCATAAGCCCTGGACCCAGGGCAGCCGTAAGACTCTGTATGGCGAACATCACAGCGTTGATTACATGGGGAAGCCTCTGTGGCAAGGAATTCGATTGCATAAGGGCAAAACGCTGGGGGCTTTCTTGAAAGCGATCGGGTTCATCATCCCATTAATGGATCCCGAATACGCCAATTACTATGCTAGGGAGGTGACAACGATTCTAATACGAGAGTTCCGCTCTCCAGAGGAAGAAATGAAGGTGATAGTTCTGAAAGTTGTGATGCAGTGTGTGTCTTGTTCCGGTGTTGAGCCAAAATATGTCCGTGAAGAGATCGTTCCAGAATATTTTCGATGCTTCTGGATTCGACGGATGGCCTTAGATCGGCGTAACTTTCGGGCGGTTGTCGACACAACATTGCAGATAGCCATCAAGATTGGGGGGGCGATGTTATCGCGCGATTAACGGACGATTTGAAGGATGAATCTGACCCGTACCGACGAATGGTAGTCGAAACAATTGAGAAAGTGACGGAGAAACTCGGTCTTTCTGACGTTGACAAGGGACTCGAATCTCGCTTAATAGATGGACTTCTATACGCGTCAACCACACCCTCGATCTCATCCAGACCTGCCTCGGCGACTTTGAGGGCTCCTTCTTTTACCCGGGCCCGGAGCCCTCGTTCGTAGACATCTCTGTAAGTCCTCATCACCTTTGTCCTCGCTTTTTTTGCTTCTCCAAACAATGCCCGCCTGATCCTAACACCCCTTCCTCCCCAGCCACGATCTTCGAGCGCGCGCGCTCCTCTCTCAAGTTCTGGCGCAACCTGAAGCTAGCCGACGGCCGCCCGAACCTACGCCGCTGGTTTGCCGCGCGGGACGCCTGGGAGCCCGCCACGTACCTGCACAGCGACGACTGAACCCACATCGGCGCCCTGCCGCCGCAGATCGGTCCAGTGTCCTTCCTGCGCACGCCGAGCCCGGTGTCGCTGGCCGTCGAGACGGCCCGCAGCAAGCACGTGCTCAACGATGGCCATGAGGGCGCCCAACACCGTAAGCAGGCCGCCAACGCCATCTGCCGCAACCACGCCGCTGTCACGAAGGACGCCATGGGCGGCGTCAAGGGATGCCCGGACGAGTTTCATAGCGTCACGGACTTTGCTTTAAGGGTGCTTAGCGAGGTCCTGTTGGACCCGTCTAAGCTGGAGGAGGCGGAGATCCGGGTTAGGGAGACTGTTAAGACCGAAGAATGGGTCATGCTTGGACATGCTCTTCGGTTTGAACGAGTGAGATGCTGCTCGGAAAAAGTTGGGGGATACATGGTGGTGCAATTCGCTCATTCATTGGGTGACTATGGAGGTAGGATAAACTATATCGGTTCCGCCCTGTTCACTCTTGCCGACACGAGCAGCCGAAATGATTTTTTCGAATGCTGATCGCGCCCCTCATGCGATTTCCCGAGTGATATCCTCCACTAGAACGAGCTCCGACTTTTTCACCTGCTCTAATACTGCAGCTTCTGATAGTGAAGGCGTGCAATTGTTGGCATGCAGCTTAGCGCGTACTGCTGAACCCGTCTTGACACTGGTCGTGCAAATCCGAACTTTACGTAACCTATCAGGGCAGAAATATTAGTCTAGCATTCCCGCCATATCATCATCGTCACTGTCGAAATCACCTTCCAAATCTTCTGTTTGATGTCTCCACTCATTGGTGCCGCTTAGCACAGCGCTTTCGCTGCTGTCAATGTCTTGCGGTGCAGAAATGTTTAATCTGGCGAATGTCTCTTTGGAGATTTTCAACACCCCACTGATAACCTTCTCTTTCTCCGATCTGCCCGGTAACATCTCTCGCAGCGTGATTTCGGGTATCAAAGATTGGCTTCTCTCACTTGTCACGTCACCACTGACAGCTGTTGCCTCATCCTGCGTTGCCGTTGTACCTGAAGGATTGTAGTTCGCCCGAACAGAGAACAATTGCCTCAGAAACCGAGCAATCCGATAGATTGTTCGAAGCATTGACGCATGTGATCCAAGAATCATTTCCTCACCACAATGGCAATAGGCGCAGACGAAGCGCAGAGCAATTCGCAAGATGTTAATGTTGCGCTTGATCTCTGTGACACGGTTTTCGCCGTTCGAACCACCAGTGACGGTGACCTGATAAGTCGCCTGTATCACCAGGTCTTTTCTTTCCGATATAAGAGCAGCCAGAAGCTTCCGATTGGTGACGGATGTGTGTGTATCCCACCCTACAGTAGTGTCAGGGATCTCGGAAGCGGGGACGGATTCCGCATCACTGTGCCAAAATCGAAAGGTGGGTGACGAGTGAGAGCGATGGAAAGAGTCATATTCACTCCAGTTAACCAGTAGAAAGAGGCCGCTCTCGAACATTTTGACCTTTGAGCGATCCCGAGAGATTCTCAAACAGTCGTTAATAGTAGTGACGATCCTCTTGCATATGAACAGATGTTTGCGCCTAGTCGGGCAGGAGGGATCCGGAGGTAACTCGGCCTTCACGCACTCGTGATGCATTCGCGCGGTGTGCAGCGTTTGCTTGTCCAAAACACCTGGTTGCAGCCAAGAAGGCTTCGTAGAAACATAAACATCAATTCCATTGCGGTCAGCATCCCTATCAATAAAGGCTTTGGTTGTTGTAAATTCTGCCGCATATGCTCGTATACTTTCGTCGGAGAGATTTCTTGCGTTCATCACCGCACGTTTGGCTGTACTGAAGCGAAAACCTGCATGCTTTTTGCCCAGTCCGTGTTTGAATTCTGAACGAGATTTGTTATGTTTGAACCCGAACAAGAGGACGCTGACGACACGCGATGTCATCCGGGGGTCATCCTGGTTATTGTGATAGACATCCATAAACGAAGATAGAGTCTGTGCAAGCGATCTTGACACGGTATCCGCGTTCACTGCCGCATTGATTTCGATAATAACTGTGGGGTTGTCTTTGAGAACGTCCTTTTCCAGGTTCTTAGTTGCACCTTTCCGAGACCCTCCCTGCACCCTTGATCGAGATGGTATTGGCGAACTACCTGCAGAGCTTTGAAGAATGAGGAGTTTGATGTCCTCTAAACTGGACGCCGTATTGGCATTGCTTTTCACTAGGTCCGATAATGTGGCATTGCAGCTGGCCAGCTCTTCTGCCAACCTCTTGTGCATTGCCACTATGGATCGCTGCAACTCAGTGCTCTCAAGCGCGGATGAATTCGATCGGGGTGGGTGCAAGGTAGGGTTCGAACGTGCCGCAGGCTGTAACTCGGTGCTCTCAAGCGCAGACGAATTCGACAGGGGTACCCGCGCAGTAGGGTTCGAACGTGTGGCCTCAGTCTGAGAGGGTCTTAGTCTTCGACGCTTCTCGGCGCTTCCAATTCCGGCCTGTAATGGCAATGGACGCCTCTTATGCGCGGACACTGTACGTCGCAGACCCATGTTTCCTTGTGCTTCTTTTTGGGGGCTGGATGATGGCGAAGCTATGACTTGGAATGAAGGTCCCACAGAATCTGTCCGAAATCGCAAACGGGAAGATCTCCGCCGTGTCTTATCTACACCCGAAGACGCTGGTGTGTGTGATTGAAGGGAAGAAGGTTCTGTAGTGTGAAGAGGTTGGCGCGGTGATGAAGGAGGCGACGACGTGTCTGGAGAAGGAGGTCGGTGAGATGCGAGAACGGCTGATTTCGCGCGAGGGGGTAACGAAGATCGCAGATTTGACGGAGGAGGACAAGTGGTGCGTTCGGAAGTCGAAATGTTTTCCTGGGGTGTGAGGAGTGCCTTCGAAGTTGAAGGGATGTTTTCGGAACCACTATGCGTAAAGCGCCGTACATACCGCCTGAAAGAATTGCCCATCACGTTGGGAAGCGCGGCAAACTCGAACTGCGACTGTTTGTGCAGATCACTTAACTGTTTCGCGGGAAAACAGTTTTCAGAAGTATGTATGAGTTGATTGCAAAGACAGCTTCTACCATGCCCGCCACTTCCACCATTCGCACGCTGCACCGCCCGCGCGCGCCACCCCCGGGGCCGATGTGCCGGCGCTGCGCGCCCGCGCCGGCCTTCGCGTTGCCGCCGCCGGTCTTGGTGGGCGTGCTGGCGGTGGTGTCCGTGTCGGTGACGCTGGCCTTCAACACACTTCTGCCGCCGCGCGCGCGCGTCTCGCTGCCGCGCCTAGCGCGCCGCCTGCGCCTGCTGCTGCCGCGCGCGTCGCGCCGCGCGTCGCGCCGCCCGCCGCCGCGCGCCCGCCGCCCGACCCCGTGGCCCAGCTGGACGGGCTGCGCGCACGCGCCGTGGCACAGCTGGACAACGAGCGCATCGCCTCGGCCGCGCGCCTCTCGCACGACGACTTCGTCACCCTGCCCGGCCTCCAGCGCCGCGAGCTGCTCGCCACCGCCTTCGCCGAGATCGCCAACGCCCCGCCGCACAAGCGAGCCCCGCCCGCGCGCACGGTCGCGCCCGCCGTCGACGCTTCCACCCCCGCCGCAGGCAATGGCCGCGCCGCCATCAGGCCGACGCGCTCCTTCTGGAACGTCGCCGAGAGCGTCAATGGTCGCGCCGCCGCGCTCGGCTTCGTGCTTTGCTTCGCGAGGGAGGTGCTCGAGCCCGGACATCCGTCGCTTGTGGACCAGGTCGTCGATGTCGTCGTCCCTATCGCGCAGAAGACGCCCCCGTTTCTTGTCGCCGTCGTCGACCAGATCGTCGACTTGCTCACGTGATTACCGCGCGGAGGGCCAGGGGAGGGAAGGCCCGCGTTTGGGGACTATCGTAGTGTAGATGCGCGTCGTAGAGTAGTGCGCGTGGTACTTGTTCGTCCTATCCGCTCGCGTTGACGCCGGGGGGGCGAGGGAGCCCGTCTCTTGCATGTCGACGCCGAGTGCCGTTTCGAGGGCCGAAGGTTTTGCCGAAACGCCTCCCGTGCTCGACTCAAGATCAGTCTCCATCCCAACAACATTCGGAATAAATTGTTCCAATTTCTCCCTCCCGTGCCTGCGCCGGCCGGCCAACCTTCCACTACCCCATCCCATTCCCTTACTCCCACCAACCCACCACCAACAGTTTGGGAAAACCTAATCGCCCTTATCAGCACTTGCGAACAGCACCAGGCAGCTACTTCCCTCGCCAAGAAAGTGCTTGTCCTCATCAAGTCTGGAAAAGTTTTCAGTGGTGATTTTTCTAATAGCGGAACGGAAGGCCCCGACGGTGTGGATCCCAAAGACCCTCACACCTGGTCTATGAACCACTTTGCGAACATGCTAGAATCAAAAACTTGTCCCTTGTCAAGAAAATCGCACGATGTGTTGACGGCCAAGGTTCTCATCCCCTTTCGAGGGCGCGATGAGGAGAGAGCTCTCTGCGCATGGTTATCTTCAGAGGGCAATCTGAAACAGTTGCAGGGCATTGGCGATACCATGGTTTCCCTGCCCCCGCTCACATTGAAGTCATTACACTCGGCCATCCGGTCTCAAATGAAAAATTATGACCGCATGCAGAGTCAGGGACAACTATCTGGTGCAGACGTGCTTCAGCTCCCTTTCCAAACAAGAAAACTTTTTAAAGCAGCAACGGCTTTGCAATCGGCGAACACAAATGTGGACTTGTGGCTTGATTATCTGGATTTCGAAAGGCACATTGCACGCGAATCAAAGCTGGCAACAAAAGTCAACTGGCAGGCATTGAAGACTTTAGACGCAAAGCGAGGAGAGCTCTTTACAGAGAGACAAATTCTCCGCAACCTTGCATGAAGAACAGCGTGCTGCTCTGGAGCGTGCTGGGAAAACGCTTGGGACGCACCATACTCGCACTGATAGATGTCAGACCTCTCAATGACTGATTCTAACACGGGCCGTTTTATCCATCGGGCTGAAACACATTCAATGCAATACCCCTAGCAGATCTGGTGGAGTAATGGTTGGTGCTGGTCATTTATTGGCGGATGATTGGTTGATGTAAAAGCGATTGGTTGGCTAATGGTTCAGGATATTTTACACGATTAATTTGTATCTATCTGCATGGAGTAATATCTGGTCGATTGCGCACTGGTTCACCGACCAATTGCCGATTGCCGACCGTTTTCTTAAAATGGCTGATATGCGATTTGGTTGGTCGACTAGTTGCAAAGGATAGTAACTGACCAATCACGGCTGTCATCGACCATACAGAAACACAGCAGTATGCTGTACAAGTAACTTTACAGTATTTCGAAGATCTGCAGCAGACGTCAACCCCCAAACCCCAATCATGCGCTCCCCACTTCCACCACCCACACCCCATGCCATTCTTCCTAAACTCCCCGGCATCCATCGGAACCAGCGCCTTAAACGGATCAACCATGTCGTCTTTTGCTGGTGCCGAAAACCTGGCAACGAGATGGAAGAGGACCCTGTGATACCCTCACATTTCCTGAGAGCATACCTGCCTCCACGACACTCCGTAGTCCGCCATCGCTCGACGGAACGTCAGAGGTTGTGCATTCACTCCGCCTTCTCACGTTCGTCCGCCCCTTTCATCGTTTTCCACTGACAATCCTCCTCGCTGTAGAGTAGTGTACAAAGCCCCTACGCGCCGCTGTACCAGCACCCTCCCCCCCTGCACAACATGGCGCGCGCAACCGCCCTGCAGCCCGCGTTCGCGCTAGCCGCGCCGCTGCGCGGCGCCGCGCGGCCCTTGCGCCGCGCTTCCGCTTACGCGCGCCAATTCCGGCGCTGCACGCCGTCTGCCAAGATGGTGCGCGTGTCGGTGCCGGTGTCCGTGGAGGCGCCGGCGGACTTCTGCCACCTGCTGTTCTCGGACCTGTCGCGGATGCCGGCCTCGTCGTCCACGCTCGAGTCCGTGACGCGCGACGCCGAGGACCCTGCGTTTTCCGAGTGGGTCTTCTCCTGGAACGGCATCTGCCTCTCGTGGCGCGCGCGCGACGAGGACGAGGACGAGGACGGGGACGAGGGCGTTCTGCCCCCCGGCGAGGACGCGCTCGGCCCGCCCGACGCGCGCACCATCCGATGGCGCTCCGTGTCAGGGCTCAACCATGTCGGCGCCGTCGAGTTCGTCCAGGTTGAGCAGGAGATGACAAAGGTCGTCATGACCGTGGATTATGACATCGCTTCGTTGCTCGCGGTCGTCATGCAGTCGGGCTTTGTTAACACGTTTGTGGAGAGCGCCATTGCGAGCGACTTGCAGGGATTTAGGAAATATACTTTGCGCTCTCTGAGAAAAGAGCGCATAGCGCAAAGAAGATCATAATGAACATTTGTTTACCTCAACTAGCCAAGCATCACCGTTACCCAGTTTTGTACAAAACTTGCATCCCGTCGTGTGCCGATCCTTTTGCCGCGGGTCGGCTGGTCAGACGCGACGCAGCATCCGCAAGGTCACACGAATGCTTGAAAGATCATCGGAAAGACGGTATTCGCGAGCACAAGCACCATCTACGCTCAGTCGAGCAACTGTCGAATCGCCATGTTGAATGACGTGAATGGGCTTGTCAAGAACAATCAACTGGGACCCGAGTTTGGACCTGGTGCTGGGATAGTGTGTAGCCTATGTAAGCTCGCTTGTCGTTTTACGCTGAGATCTGCGGCAGTTGCCCCGACAACTGTGAGGCACGATGTGTACAAGCCGCCGTCCTTGAAAGCCGAGTCCCACGGGTTGCGAAAGCCGCCCTGGCGGAGGTGGTGGGGTGCGGCGGCAGCGGCTCAAGCGTCGACGGCGGGCGCGGCTTGAGCGACAGGTGCAGCTGGCACGCCGCCGAGATGACGGCCGGCGAGGCGCTACGCTCGACGGTGCCTGTGCACGAGACGCGCGCGGCCGTGCGCGCTTCGTAGGCGGCGCCGTCGT